GCCTTGGCTCCGTGCCCAGGTGGGCTGTGGGGACATGTGGCACCGGAGAGGGGGACAGAGAGGCTCAGGGGCACCACTGACCCCTTAAACCAAGACAGGAATTTGGGGAGGGTGCCCTGGATGGCAGCACTAATATATATACATATTTTTCTAATGAAATCAGATGTGGGTAATTATTTTAATCTGGGTTATGGGAGGGAATGCAGCTTCTTCAGGATCTGCAATTTAACAACACCAAGAGGAAGGAAGAGGAGGAAAAAAAAAAACCCACCACGCACACCACCCTTCTTTGCCGTAAGAGCTTCGCTTCCTTTGATCCTTTGTGCAAGGCTCTTATCGGGCCAAGAGTGGGTTTACATGCTGCCAGATAGGGAATAAAACTGTGCCGAGATAAGCTGCAGCCCCGGCCTGCCTTTGTGCAGCAAAGCCGATAGGACTGGGAAAATGTTTACTGGGAGCCACGGCAGGGAATTGGACCCCCATGTAGCTGAGGAAAATAATTGCTTTGCATGATAATTTTGCCCGGACCCTTTCCCTGCCCCATGGATGCTCCTGGCATTTGGAGACATGGTAAAAAAAAATCCCTTTGGAGCAGTGGCATCCTTCATGCAAGGCCAAATTGGCCACTTCCTTTGGAAAAGCCTTTGGAAGAGCCTCTTCGCTACCACCTCCACCCCAGAAATTGGCCCATTTTTGGATCCAGCTCTGCCAGTGCAGAGAATTGGCCAGAAGTTAATAGCTCATTGCAGGGAATGGGCTAATGGGCATTGGGAAGGGATACACAAAACTCCTGCTGGATTTCTACCATCTCCTCCAAAATGAGTTTGCCCTGGGGACATGGTGGGGACTCTTACAGGTGCCAGGAGGAATTTCCATGGAATTTCCAACTCAGCAAGGACATTACTTCCTCCTGGGACAGTAAGATGGGGCCACATGGCTCAGGGAACAGCACCTGGGGGTCACCAAGAAAAGGGTCTACTGCCACATAATCATTTTCCCATTAATCTGGCTTTTTATTGTTATTATTATTGTTATTATTATTAAACATCTCTCTTCTCCCAAATCATCTCGAAGCTGTGGTGAGGTCCCTGGTAATAGCTCCATAAATTTCAGCCATAAAAAGTAATGGAGGGAGACAAATGAGATAATTAGGAATAAATCTTGGCGAGGTCTCTATTCATCAACATCCCCCAGAACCGACCAATATTCCAAATCATTAGCAAAGCCCGTAATTAACAAAGAGCCAAGGCTTCCAACGTTAATAAACCGCTCTCAACTCTGTATTATCAGGTAGTGGCTGACGAATCAGTCCCGTTAATATTTAGGCTTTTGTTAAGGATCTTCTTTCTTTCTCTCTTTTTTTTTTAAAGCTAAAAACCCTGTTTCATTTTTTTTTTATGTCGCTAAATTTTAATTAGATTTTGCACATGCATCTGCAGAGGGCAAGTGAGGGGACAAAGAGAGAGTTTTTTTTCTTTTATACTTAGGGCCACTAGAAAAAGTAGCCAGATTTTATTTTTTTCTGCCATTCCTTCCTTTATTCACTTCTCTGGATCTCCATGCTCATTTTGCAGGAAAATGCTCTCAAAGGTGGTACAAAACAGCAGCTGATTTTATTTCTCCCCTCACTTGCTCCAACTTCAATATTTGTGGACTCTGGTGGCAGCTGCCAGGTGCTCTATGCCTTTGCCATTAGCTCCAACACCTTGGGATGGGATTCCAGGTGGGATTTCCCATTGGAGCAGGGATCCAAGTGCTGCCCTGGGAGCCTCAGTCTGCAGCAGGGAAATGCTGCAGGAAAATTGCTCGCCCATTTCCCTCCCCCAGCTTGGAGTAGCCTGGAGGCCACTCCAAAACTATATAGTTTTAAACATAATAAAGCTAATGAAATAATTTAAAAATACATAATGGTGACACTGCTACAAGTCTCCCGGGTCCCCCAGGGACATCCTGTCCTGGTCCCCAGCACAGGGAGCACCAGGGGACTCAAAGCAGCTCTGAGCTGAACAGCAGCAGGGAGCCAGAGCCCAGGAAAAGCCCTTCCTTAATCCCAGCAGCGGAGGGCCTTATCCCTGGACATATGGATTTTACGGAGCGGAGGCGGCAGCGTTCGCACTCTAGGCAGAAGGCAGCAGCCCTGGTTGCAGGATGCAACCCCAGCAGGTTGGGGAGTTTGTGCAAACGGGAATAGCCACACATCTAGGAGGGAAAAGAGGGGTTCGGGAAGGACAGAGGCAGATCCCAATAGGATGGGAGTGCTGTAGGGAGGGAAATGCAGCTTCACACTTGCCTTTAGGAGCTGCTGCATCCCTGCCTGCCCTGAAGCAAGGCCACATGCAAGTCCTGAAAAAAGGTGAGTGCAAAACCCGAGCAATGCAGCAAGGGGCATTTCTGCAGAGCAGGGCCCTGCACCTTCCCTTTGGCTTGATTAAGGGGTGGTGATTAGAGAAGCATGCACCACGCTGTCTAAAAGACATAGGAGAGAAAAGGTAGGAAACCAGCAAGGCTGGTTCTGCAAGCACCAGACTAAAGGTCTGTGCAAGGGGGTTTGCTGAACACAACCATCATGAGGCTCTTTTGGTACTTTGTGAGACCACACCAAGAAAGGGCATTTCATTCCATTTCTGCCCAGTGCTATTTTTATGCTGTATTGAGCCTTCATTAATAACAGCCTTTGCTGAACATGAAATCGTTCACATAATAAAAGAGCCATTTGCTGAAAAATAATTCAGCGTAAACATAAAACCAAGGGGACATAAACCACAGCCTGGAACTGTGCAGACTTTATGGGACATTAGTGCATGGGTGTGTTACAGCTGGAAAACACCGGTGCCAGGACCAGCGCAACCCGACAGGCACCAGGGCATCATCATCATCCCTGTTGCTGAGCATGGAAGCAGCACCATGGCTGCAGCTGCAGCTCATTAGCAGTGATTAGAGCATTGCATTTAGTGCAATGTGTGGTTCTGGGAGCTCCAGGAAGAAGATAGGACTGGTACTAGAGCAGTGCCACACTCTACCAGGCATTCTGCAGAGCTAAGGGCACCAGTGCCACCCATGCAGCCCAAATAGGCTGGACAGAAAGGGGAAGGAGGGTTTTTAGTGCTAATCTACATCCAAGAACCTGGAAAAAGAACTGAATGGCTTGTCTGCTTTTAGGGGCTCAGCCACAAGGCTTTTCCTGGACAGAACCAACAAGAAGGGATGAAACCAGCTGGGACCAAGTCTCAACACAGGCTCTAGAAAAGCAGTATCTTGAGCACAACATGGGAACCTGATAAAGGATGAAGCCTGGCTGGAAAAGGCAAGCTGCTCGGTGCAGAGCAGAAGCACCGGGACTGCAGGGCAGTAGGTGGAAAGAGGAGGATTCGGCTCCAAAATTGCAAAAGGCAAGAGGCCCTTCAGCACAGTCCACGGGACTGTGCACCAGGGGAGCATCACCCGGCTGGGGTGGGCACAAGGTTGTCCTTTTCTTCCAATATGCCAGAGACCGTCTCCTATTTCATACTAGGCAAAAAGAACATGCACTTACCTTCACTGCCCACTGCAGCACCTCTCACAACGGGACGCAGCAAAAGGAGCCTTTGCTTTGCCAGGAGTCTTTTATACTCCCCACAGTCGGTGCTCAGGTGAGTTCCAGCAAACTCATCACCACCAATGGGCAGGTGATGCATTGCTTGGAGATCTCCTGTGTCTCCATAGTGGCAACCGAGGGGCTGCAGCAAAACCAACCACTCGCCCTCGTATCGTGAAGCATCCAGCAGCAGCCCTGCCTGCTCCCCTCCTTCCTCCACACAGCAGAGCAAATTGGCGGTGCTTATTAAGCCTCCGACTTCTCTTTTAATCTATTTAATAAAGATTTATGTATATATGTATTTATTTATCCAGCAGAAGCGTCTTGCTGCATTTGGGCTAGCAGTTTGTTGAGCAAACTCTGTTAAATCTCTGCTAACATGACAGACTTCCTCAGATGTCCCTAAGAGGAGCAGAGGCTGGACATTTATTGAAAAAAACTGGGGTGTTTCTGTCTCTGTATTTGCACACAGGGGATGAGACAGAGCCTTGTGCCAGCGGGCAACAGTTCCCAGTGCGAGCGTGCCAGGCGTGCTGGGATGTGCAGGTCATCCCTTCACTAGAGGGCAGCAGCATGCCAAGGAAATTCCCGCTCTGCCCAATTTTGGGATGAGCCAGGTGGGAGCATCCCAAGAACTTCGTGCCTTGAGAGCTGGTGGCGAAGGGCAGAGCGCGGCCGGGCTGGTGCGAGGCGATGCCGGTGCCCTGCTCCAGCCGGCACGATGCTTTCCACATCTGGAAGCAATTCCTGATGCTGATGTGCAGTGAGGGGAACCACTGGACCAGCCGTGCCAGGGAAAGCAGAGCGTGAAGACATGGGAAGCCTTGGGACCAGCCGGCTTTAGTGCAATTACACCCAGAGAAAAGGGGGCAGGTGGAACCTGTGAGGCTGCAGGATCCTGTCACACTGCAAAAATCCTCAGCTGAACACCCAGGAGCGCTGGGACCTCCAGGATCAGCTCTGCTTTTCGGAAAGGGAGCCAACACAAGCAGAGACACAGAGGTGCAAAAATCTCCTGCATCGCCAGACCTCCCCCTTGCTCTGCTGGGGATTTAGGCGCATGTTAAAGCACTGAAAAATGCATACATGTTTATATTATATGTGTGCATATATACACGCGTGTGTGTATCTCTATATGTGTGTATATATATATATTTATATATGTATGTTTGGGTGTGAATGTATGTGTAGATAACTATGTATATGTATCTGTGTGATTATCTATGTATGTATAGATGCATAAGCATGTGTATGTATGCATTATGTATATGTGTGTACATATTTTTGTGTGTGTATAAATATATACATGTGCACGTATCTACACACAATAGTTGTATATATAAGTGTGTTTATGTGTGTGTGTGTGTGTGTGTGTTTATATACAAACGTACACACTCTGCTGCCCTTTGCATTAGTCAGAGGGCTGCTCGGGTGGCAGTGGGGTTTGGGCCTCTTGGAAGCCTCCGTGTCAGTGCTGCTGTCACCTAATTAACAACAAATGGCAACGGTGGGGACGATTCCAAAGCGCCGGGGGCTGCTGAGCCCTGACAGCCGCGAGCAGTCCAACTTTCAGCCGGAAAAGCCAATCCTGGGATTAGGGGAGAGCAAAGGGGAAGGTTTTTGGAGAAAGGAGAAGAGTCGCATCCCAATGTGGCGGCGAGGAGGGACGAGAGCAGCCCAGTGCTTGGCAAATGCAATCCACACCCATCTAAATGCGTGTGTGTATGTATATATGAATATACACACATACACGCATGTGTGGGTGTGTGCATATAAATATATACAAGTAGTTGCATCCATATATATGGCGGGGAAACGCATGAGTTTGATCATGCAGATGCAAGTCAGTGCGTGCAGGGAAAATGAGTAGCCCTCGAATATCCCACACGTGTGCAAAACATGGGCCAACTGTCCCTGCTCAGGCAGAACAAGGCCTTTGGGTTTAAAACAAACCAAAAAAAAGGGTGCTGTTTTTTGCAGTCTATTACTCACGCCATGCAGTGCGTTGCAGTGCGGGGTTAAAGGCAGAGCCCAGTTTTCCCCCAGCAATATTCCCGTTAATGGCTTTCAAATGTTGGCATGGCCGGTGGGTGCACGCGCCCCAGTGTGTGTCTTGGCTCCGGGCGCTGTCTCTGCTGCACAGCAAACTCCCAGCTCCGAGATATTTAAACTAACTCCGTTGCCTCTCCGATTTCAGCTGCGCTTTGTAAAGAAAACAACTCCCACCGCCTGCAGCAGGAAATCACTATTTGGCTTTTGGAGGCACCGTTTCCTGAGGCGCCGCGCGGCGAAGCCGGGCTCGCTCAGCCCGGCAGGTAGCCCACAGCTCTGCTCAAAATGCACATTGTGGCAAATGCTTTTAGCAATTCAGGAACATTTGTGGCATGCACTGGCCATGCACTGGCATGAAGTCAGCCCTAATGGTCAAAACACTGGTTCGGGTCTCCATTCCCCATCCAGTTGCTGCCTGGGAATGGGAGATGCTCAAGTCAGCAGAACTTATGTCAACTCCATGGATGAAAAAGGGATTATTTATGCTGCCATAAACTTTATTAAATTTTATTTAGAAAAAAAGAAAAAGTTTCTCTATATTTTTCCATATTAGCAAAGTGGCTCGTTCCAGGCAGCCTGCTCCACTTTGCAGTGTTTTGCGGGCAGTGGGCACAAAGGGATCCCTTGATTCATGGCAAGATCCTGTTTGGGGATGAGGAGGCAGTGCAGGACATGCCCCCTCCCCACAAACAAGCAAGCTGGCCGGGCGCTGGCCCCTCATCTGCCATTCTGTTGCTTTTCCCTTTCTTTTCCCAACTTCTCCCATGCTGGAAAATCCAGCATCCAAACCTGCTCCACGCACCCCTGCCAACATCCTCACTACGCGCACGTGCCCCTCGGTGCCGTGCTGGAACCGACGTCCGCCTGTTCATCTCCGGGAGACCCCCCCTTTCTCCCTCTACTTCCCATCCGTGGTGCAGCCATGAGGATCCCCAAAAAAGCGACCCTCCTGCTGCTCCGCTTAATGGCAGTTTTTTTTTTTCCTTGGGGGGTTCTTTGTTTTTAGCTTTCCGGGATGCTCCCGCTCTGCGCAGGTTAGGAATCCAGCAGGAAATCGGCTCCAAGCAGCTGCCGGCGGCTGCCAGAGAGGGGGAAAAAGTGATGCTGTGGGGCCCGCGGCCTTGAGGCCATTTTTGGGGAAGGGGTGGAAAAGTGAGGAGCCGGTGGGCCTGAAACTGTAATTCCTTCCAGCTGCCGTCAGCCTGGCAGGGTCTCAAAGGCGTTTTCAGAGACGGCAGCCGTCCCCCCGCGCAGCGCCGGGCTGCGGCCGGCCAGCTCAACCTGGGACTACACGAGCCACGCCGCCGTCCAAAAGTGCCTTTTTTTCCCTTTTTCCCCTTGGCTTTCCCTGTGTTTTCTCGCACGTGTGCGCGCGCACGTGCGGGCGCTGCGTCCGCGCACGCGCGATCTGTCCCCTCGCTCAGCCCAGCCGCCTTGCTGGGGCTGGGTGTACTTGCAGGGAGCACAAATTTGGGCTGGATTTGGGGTAATTTTATTGAAAGGTTTCCCTTAAATGAAAGGGCAAGCCCAAGAGCGACGTCCAGTGCTGCCCAGCCCCCTGGTTCCAAGACACTGCCTGGGGAATGCCAAAAAAAACGAGTGTTCCCTGGAAAGCAACTAGTTAAAAGCTGAGCACATCTGTTGTTAATTAATTCCCAGGCAGGAGGGTTAACTCTTCCCTTCCCTGGTGCTTTGCAAGGTGCACAGAGCCCTGTGCCCAGACGATGGATCCCCCAGTGCTGCCTTTGGGCTACGGGGTGAAAAACACCCAAGTCTTCTGGGTGGGAAAAACCTCGGCTTTGCTGGCTCCTTTCTGCGGAGGCAGCACCCGTTTCCAAAATTCCCTTTTGCACGTCTGAGCTGCCGCCGTTTTATTTGCATTTTCACACGCAGTCGGCACAAAAGTACACCCGTAGGCGTGAGCATCACGCACATCCAGCGGCACATCCTGCTTCCCGCGTCTAAGCTCAGCAAAGCAGCATCGAAATGCACCGCTTTCCTAAAGGCTGGAAGGTCACTGGGAGGGGGACAAGTCTGGTGGGGAAACGGGCACCGTTTCCAACCCTGCTCGCCGGCCTGCGGGGTGGGAGGAAGGCTGCCGGCCTCCTCCTCCTCTCCCTGCTGCGCTCGCCTTGAGCTCACGGCTAAAAATAGGTTTTAAGGGCCGGGCCACAGCCCCGAGGGCAGCCAGCCCAGCTCCCAAACCAGCCCGCGGTGCTCTGACCAACTGACCCATTTGGCCTCGGTTTTTAAGCATTTTTCCCTGCTGGCTGCTCACGGGGCCGGGACGTGTGGAGGAGCCGGGCCGGGATGCGGCACCGGGCGGATCGCCCCATTCCAGACCCCTGGAGTGGGACCCAGCACCCTGGGCACCGTGATCCAGAGCCCCAGCATGTGATGCTGCAGCCGCCGCTTGGAAATGAAGACCTTTATTTACAGTAACAAAAGGCACAAAAAAAAAAAAACCCAAACACCTATGACATTTATCCTCCCTCCCCTTCCACCCAGCCCCTCAGAAGGACCTTTCTTTCCACCCTTGTCCAGCCACAAGCCCTGTCCCCTTGGGTGATGGGACAGGACCGGTGGGATAGTTTCGGAGCAGCCAGTCTGTCCTGCTGCACACAGGGATGCACACAGGGCCGAGAAGGGCTCTGGAACACCCAGCCCCACAGGGATAGAGTTGTTGGGCAGCACTTGGCCAGAGGGGCTGCAAAACCCAGAGATGCCCCCAGGCTCCACAATGAGCAAGGAAAAAGCTCCTCCCGGCCGGCAGTGCGGAGACAGCAGCCTGATATATTTATTGCACTTGGCTGCTGATCTCAGCACCAAGATGGGAGGAGAAGCTGCATCCAACCTCTAACTGGGTACCCTGGGCTCCTGCATCCCCAGACCTGACGGAGACATCGTCCCGAGGATGCTGGGTGCATCCAGCCCTGGGCAATGCAGCTGTCCCAGGACCAGTGGGAAGATATCGCTCCGGCGAGGCCAGTGCTCCTGCTCTCGGCTCAGGTGGCAGGAAGCACCCACGGTCCTTGGCAAAAGGGTGTCAGGTCCCCAGGGCTGGCCCAGCATGAGGGGGAGAGGTAGAGCGTGAGCGTCCGTGCATCTGCCCCCAGACATCCCTCGGCTCCGTGCTGGATCCTTCCCGGAGCAGCAGGGAAAATCGCTCTCCTTTGCCCTGCTCCTCTCGCCGCCTGTGGGTCTCGGCGCCCTGCGAGCCTCCACGAGGCTCAGGAGGAGAAGCAGAGGCCGCAGCACTCCATGCAGATCTCCAGGCAGTCGGCCGACTCGCAGCAGGCGTCGATGATGCCGCAGTCCATGTCGCAGGGCAGGTCGCAGTCCGCGCACTCGCCCGAGTTGCAGCAGCAGCAGCAGATGCAGGAGTCCTCGGAGGTGCAGGAGCCGCAGGTGGCACAGTCCAGCACGATGTTGCACAGCGTCAGGAACTCGCAGAAGAGGCACGAGAGGATGCAGTGCACGCAGCAATCTGCGGGGAGACCACCCGGGACACGTGTTGGGACCCACGGGCAGCACCAGGATGCTCAGGCCTTAACTCCCTGGGAGTTAAGGGAAGGGATGGGAAGAGGGGCTGGGAGCCAAGCCACCACTCCAAGGACTTCACTCAATGCCCAGGGACCAGCACCTGTGCACAGGACACATCCAGGACACCAGTAGCTTGTGAAAAAGCCTTGGGATGAGGTGAAGGAGTGATATACGGCCAAGAAAGCTGCCAGAGCTGGAGCCGGGCAAATGCCCAGGCAGCACTGCTGGCACTAGGGATGCTGCAAGGGATGTCGGAGCAGGGAGCAGCCTAGATGGGACCCGCTCCTGGGAAAAGGGACCAGCTGGAAGCAGGGACCACCCGGGGAGAGGGACCATCTGGGAACAGGGACCACCCAGGGAAAGGAACCTGCTGCAGAAATCTGGTACCTTCTTGAGCCTCGATGGGGATGTGGGATGAGGCGGACTTGGAGCTGCCCTTGCTCTTCTTGCTGCCCTGGCTGTTGATGGAGTGGTGGGACTGCAGCTTGCGGGGCGGCTTCCCCGGGGCGGCGAGGGGAGGGAAGGGGCCGCTTCCCGGCTCCCTGCCGCCCTCCAGCCCCTTCCCGGCTCCGTTGGGCAGCAGCCGGGATGCGGGACCGGGTGCCTGGGCGCCCGGCCGGGGC